TATAGATTAATTAGTAAATTAGTTATTTTTATTTAATGTGTTAATCAATATTATTTTACTTAATATATTTCATTTAATAATGTTAATTTAATTGTTGTATTTATATATCAGTCATAAATAAATAAAAATAGTTAACAATGAAGTAAATCAATGTGATTTGATTAGTTATTAAAGTGTACCATTTTCCAAACCTTTTCTGATGCAATATAAATAAAAATAATAAACAAAGAGTAGCGGAAGGAATAGGACAGACGTCAATAATATAACAGGTGGCTTTTTAGTACATGTAACTACGTCACTCTATTCATTTCTGCGTCATACAAATCAATCTGCATAAATTTGAATCAATTACAAAGCTAAATTGATTAATTGAGACCATATATGAAATAAATAAAGCACTAAACAAATACATGCACACCGGTTTTCTCTTACATTATATATATATACAAATAAAAGGGATTCTCTCTTATTAGATAAAAGACCGTATTATAAACGGACGTAGTACGCAAAAAGAGTCCGACAATTGTCAAATACTTGCTGATACAAATACCATTTCGGACGGATCGTGACAATAAAACCGAAAACGCAAACGGCGAAGGAATAAATAACGAAACGGGCGCGGCGTAGCGCAATAGGGCAGAGAGGCGATCGTCGACACGACGAACGCGACGTGGCCGTCTGTGCCATCGGCGATATCCACGCCCCGCTGACTGGACTGTTTTTTATTGCATCGCCGCACCCGAAAGATCGACCCGGAGCCGCAGGAAGTTTTCCTCTTTCGTCAGCCGGTGAGAGCGACACGAAAGAGAGGATCTCGAGAGACAAGGGACGTCCGCTGAAGGACGGGAGTCCCACGTCCGGTCCATCCGTTCGGTCAGCGAACGTGTACGTTGTAGAACGCGGGGGCGAGATGGCTGGAAAAGCCACCCTGTCGACTTTTTGCACATCGCTATAGTCTCCACCGGTGATGACATATCCCTGGACTGGCGTTGAACAGCTCTGATGTCAATGCCAGCATTGAGACAAAGATTTCTACATACACATATTGTACATATTTGCAAAATACATTGAATATGAAAAAATTAACCTGTGCAGACTCTGCGTACACATTATAATGTACATCAAGTTTAAAGACATTATCCATTGAAATTATTTAATTCCATCGACATCATCTGAGATCTATTGTAGATAATAATATATATGTGTGTTGAAAAAATAATCAAAATTCTGAAAAAAATAGTTGTTTAGTATAAATTACTTTACTAAGTTACTAAACTACTAAAAAAACTAAAGTGCGCATGAATTCAATTAAAAAGAATTTTTTTAACCCTAGTTTCAATAAAATCAGGTCTGAAGAGGTTCAAATCTGTTAATACTTCTAACACTAAAATAAATATGAAAGAAAATGCTGCACGTGTTTTGTAGATCGAGCTTAACGTTACTTCCCCAATGAACTTTTATTCCGGATACATCCTGAAGATGTTCTTATAAGTAACTATTATCTGCTTCAACTCTGGTGTTATATTATCATTATCAAAAAAATCCGTAACAAAATTTAATGATGAATTACTGATTGTAATGCACATAATCATCTATCAATATATAAGATCAATAGGAATCCATAACAAAATTAGTCGCAAAAAATGTATGTATAGTCAATAGAAGTCTATCTTGTGGAACGTATAAAGAAAATTTTTTATTCAGTCGCATATGCATTAAAATGTGACAGTAACTGATATTATATTATAATATCCAATATATTTTATATAAGAAAAACAGAATTTAGTAATGACTTGCGCGTTTACTGAATCATGTTCAGTTACACTTTTACGATGAGACACACCGATTTGACACACGCCACAATCTATTAGCGGTCACAATTTATTGGCGGATTAAATGCGAACGGCAGGCGAGCGTTCGGATTTGTAACTTTCTTACGATGTCATCGCGATGCGCTTTCGATTTCCGCTCGGTCATCCAGTCTCATTTAAAGAGGAGGCGATCCTCGTTAAGCGGCAAAACTGAGAGATCGACTGCCTCCCCCCTCTGGCGATACGCCCACTCGATACTGTGCTTTGATCCACGGACAAATATCCTCTCGTTTGCCATTTAACTTCTCCATTTGCCATTTAGTCGAATCGAACTTCACAATTTTAGCACGTAGCTACTTTAATACCATATCCAGATATTCAATATTAGATAAATAGGTGCTGATAATAAAATCGCTCGTCTCTTAAAGCAGTAAGTCTACTGTCAAATTGAATAATTTGTTTGATCCTTATTCTTAACGACTTTATCGTATGACAAATGTGTGAATGAAAATGTGAACGAAAATGGAAATAGATGTAAAACATACATACCATATATAACCCCAATAGAGACTATAGATATGACAATAGATATGACAATAGGTAGTACTTTTAAATGCCCTTTTAAATGTATTTAATTATTACAATTAATATATAAAGCATTAGGAGCAAGATATAAATTTTATTTATAAAATAATAATATAATATAATAATTTACATTTAAATCTTATTGATTATTGATTCTTGTGCCTTTTACTATAGATTTTTATTTTTATTTAATAACAAGAGTCTTTATATATATTTACTATTATTTATAAAAATCGAATTTTATAAAAACATATGATGAAAATGTGAATAATAATAAAAGAAAGAAGAAATATATAATTAATAAAGATATATGACAATAAATATTTTTAAATGCTCTTTAAATATCTGAGTGCTCCATTTAAATAATACAACTAGTGGGAAATTAGGAGTAAAATAAATTTTTATTTATAAAAATAAAATCTTAAAAGTATATTTTTTAAAAACCTTACTTGCAATTTATTATTCAATAATTAAGTATCACTCAATAAGATAAAAAATTACTAATATTTTGACTTCCTATTAAAGAGACACTTTTATCTTTGAATAAAAAGCTTTCGCTTTTAATACATCATACGTACAGTATCTATATACGAGTACTAGAAGAAACTCCAGAACGGCAATCGATACAGACAATGGAACATAAATGAGCAAATGAATTAGTGATGTAACCACGGGTGTCTGATTACCGTGCGCTTTCGGACACGCCGGCTCAGTTAAGACTGAGAGAAGCAGGGGTGTCGAAGGGGCGCGCATTAGCACCTCGTTTATTATTCATGTGTGAGAGTTAAGCGCACGCGTGTGCTATTCGTAATTTCCATGCGCATACAACACGAATTTCGTTTCGACGCGTGCACGCAGGGAAATTGTTGCTCACGTACGCATTTCACCCCCCGAATCGTTTCATTTTGTACGCCCTGCGGTAAGGTTGCACACCCCGCCCACCCAGTAGGCAGCTCTCGGTAATATTCGCTAAATGAGAATTGTTGAAAGCCTGACGGGAAATTGTAGTTCAATGTAAGTGAAACTATAATTTATATTAAGAGAGAAAATTTATGTGCAAATTGGAGAGAGAGAAAGAGATATATATATATATATATACATATGATATGAGACAAATATTGTTCTTAAACAATAGGTAAAATTTCAAATCTGATGAGAATTTTTTTTGAAAGCATAATGTAATGTATTGTAAATTAATATTCATTATACATTACTTTGAAATATGTGCATATTTTAGAAAACAATTAAAAAATATTAAAATATTATTTTTTAAATATTATAAAATTTTTATTTGTAAGTAATAGATAATATTAAAAATCTCGAAATTTATATGATTATAAATTAATGTAATCTAACGATTAATCTAATTTTCTCTTCAACTGTGAATCTGATAAAAACTTTCTAGTTTCGCTTTTCTTAATTTTCTTTGATTCTCCTTCGTCTTTTTCAATATACATATAAATTAGCAATAACTTCGTTAATATTTGCATTTACGTATAATCATATGTATGTACATTAACAATTTTGGAATTGATATCCTAGAACACAAGAAAGTCAAAGTTTAAATTCAAAGTTACAGAAAATGACAAATATACGTAATTAAAAAGAAACATTTCTTTTTAATTAGCAGTTTTTGTCAATTTTAGGATTAATTCAAGAATGAAAGGATTCTCGATACTGATTGTGGACACGAGGGCTCGTCCTCTGGCGCACAGGATCTCTCACCTGAACCAGACTTATATTCTTGTTGTCCTTATACGAAGGCGCGTTAAAGTAGTGGGTGTGACCGCGATCGTATCACTCGATCAGGTTTGTTTAAATAATCGAACCTTTTGGGACCGGACAGCGTATCATCCTGTCGGCATCTAGTCAGCCAATATGTATGATAATTTTGACATGCCTACACCTCATAATGGAGCTCGACTGTATGCTTGTTCTTGATTTCCGTTCCTTCGCTCTCGTTTTGTATTGGTATAAGTATACGCATGCCTCGTTTTATATGTAACTGGAGAATATAATCGGCAAAAATAAAAGTGTAACGTTTTTGAAGGATATCTCAAAGAAAAAACATTTCAAAGGAAAGTATCAAATATATGTTTTCTCTACTATTTTTTCAATTATTATTTTTTACAAATATAAATATGAAATTTGAATTCTTTTTGTGTCTCAAATCCGAAAATTATTTTGAGAATTATTTGAAAAATATAATGTCACTTTTGTTTGCTCAAACTACTGCTCTTTTAGATAAAATTTATATTTATTGCAGAAATTATATTTTTCTTGTTTGTATAGAAAAAGAGAGAGAGAGGGGGGGGGAGAGAGAGAGAGGAGACAAGCTGAGATATAACCGATAGTCGGTAAATAAGATATCGAACATATTTCGTTGGATGAACTGGCAGTCAGTGCAGTCACACCAACAGCGACTGTCTTCTTAAGTTTGTACAGAGAGAGCAGCAGTATTAGGAGTATGTTTCGTGTCGACTCTCAAATCTCGCCGATTGTCCGTTACTACTTCAATTTTACGCAAAATTTTTAATATTTCGTCCGCCTTTCTGTTAATTGCATCGAGTTAGGAATTTGATTTTTTTCGACAAATGTTCAACGATGTTGCAATCGGAGATTCCTGGTGCGTCGCGCGATTTTCTGCGTGCCTGTCACAGTGGAGACATACATAAAGTGAAAACTCTAGTTGAGAAACACGGAATTCGCGATTGGAGCGACTTTCGTTACGTGGCATCCGGCGATACTGCGTTGCACGTGGCCGCACGAGAGGGGTATATGAATATTGTGAGATATCTGTGCGAAGAATTCAACATGCCAGCATTTATGGTCGATGTCACCAACAAAGACATGAAAAGGCCATTGCATGAAGCTGCACAATTTGCACAAGAAGATATTCTGAAGTATTTACTGGGAAAGGGTATTCTCTTTTTTAATTAACAATTTTATCGTAACAAATAAACTGTAGTCCGCTTTTAATTATACATATAAATTGTACAAAAATATTTTATACATTTTATATCTGATCTATTTATTTTTCGATATATAAAATTATAAGTTACATTAAATTGCTTTATTATATGATATATTTAAAAATTAATTTACGTTATAAATTTTAATTGGTTAATATTAAATTAAACTGATTATATTTCATATTTGGATTTCTGTATTAGATACAAAATTATACTATAAATTATACAGATTTGTGTGTGTAACGCTAATTGTAAATACTGTCATTTTTATTATTGAAGGTGCATTGGTAGATGCTTTAAAGCGTGGCGACTGGACGCCTCTGATGCTTGCATGCACCAAAAGTGGTCCCGCAGCGCAACAATGTATCAGTGCCCTTTTAGCTGCTAATGCTAACGCATATTTGCGCAATAAAGATGGCTGGACGCCATTGCTCATCGCTTGCCGAACTGGTGATGAAAATGTGATCAATATGTTGTTAAAGCATTTGCCGAAATGTATCGATGATCGAAGTAACAATGGTCGTAGCGCGCTACACATTGCTGGTAATTATACATATTTGCAATATGTTGATTTTTCTCTAAAACTTTAATGTTCTCTCTCTCTCTCGTTTTAAAAAAAAAATGTTATTCGAATTTCAAAAAATTAGGAACTTTAAAGAATAAACAAAATTTTGTTAAAAATTGATATATACATTTTTTGGAGTTTAACAATTTTATTCAAAATATCATAATTCGATTTTATCTTAATTAAAGTAAAGAATTATTATTTTTCATATTGGAATCTGTATTTTTTATACATTTAATTGTTAAAATCTCTTTTAAAATATAGGAACGTTGGACTATTTCCAAAATTTTATTCAGGAAAAGTTACATCTTATTACTATATTAAGAATATATAGACATTTTTTAAAAATAGACTCTGACTATTCACAGAAATTGACATTATCTTCAGTAGATAGTCTAATATCGATTAATTCGGTTACAGAACTCAAGTCCACAGTAGTTAAAGAAGTCGACTACTAGTAACGCTACTACTTTGCGAGTAATTTATCCACTAAGCACTGAAATACTTTTGTATTACTTTTTATTAACTATCGTTGACTTATTCTTTACAATTATAATTTATTGTTAGGAACATTTATTGGATAAGTTAGGAAATCTGAAAAAAGAAGAAGCTATAATTTCTTTTATTCAATAAAATATTTAAAAAAGTATCGTTTTATTATCTATAAAAATGTTTAGCATTATTTTTTGAATTATATTATATATTCATGTTTATATCGGTATTCTTATATTCTTATACATATTTTATATTGTTGTTCTAATATTTATAAGAGACCGTTTAAAATTAGTGTCTTTGATAAAATTGCTATTAGTTTCTTTCAACTGCTTTTATAAATATTTACTATTTATTAATTTTTCTTTATATTTTGATCGACAATATACAACTTGTTTCTTCAATTTTCATTTTATGCAGCATTTCACGGCCATGAGAGAGTGATTAACTTGCTTGTCGCATCAAACGTAAATCTTTTGAATGCACAAGACTCTTCAGGTTCCTCGCCGCTTCATGAAGCAATGAAGCATCGAAACCTGGATGCGGTGAAGTGCATCATGTACTTGGGCGCTAACGTCAATCTGATAGACAACGTCGGTCAAACTATTCTGCACATTGCTGCATTAACTGGCAATGCGGAGGCTGTTGAGTACATTTTGGAGCATAATCTAATTGATGTGAATTACAGAGCTTCTTTTGGAATCACACCGCTGATAATAGCTCGGAGAAGTAATCATAGCGATGTTATTGAAATTCTTATTAGATATGGCGCCAAAGAATAAAATATTTTTACTTGACAAATATTTGTTCTTATTACACCTTTTCACAAACTTCTATTTTACATATCTTTTGTAATTAACAAATTGCACAAGGAGTTAAAAATAAAAATGATATAACATTTTTATTACTTTGATTAATATCTTTCATGCGTTTCTTACAATTAAATCTATTTTTGTTAGTTTTCATCAATAGAAAGTATCTTTTTCGTGATTTCATTAAAGTAGAATAATAGATCTTACTCTCTAAGTACGATTGAGGATACAAAAAACTGAGACGAGTGGCGTTTTATTCAGAGATTGGTACACATTTATTTATCCTTTGTTTTTCCTTGTATCAGACAGTTTTAAAGAAGCATACAAAAATCAGGAAACGGAGGCTCTTATTAGTTTGGAGATACCTAGACTTTACATTCTTCTTCGTCCTCTATCTTTACCTTTCCTCCTCTGTTTCGTTAAACTTTCATTTTTAGCGTGCGCAGGCGACGTAGTACAGAAAACTCATGCATGTACTATTAAGTGTGCGCGTGCTTAAACTCTAGAACGCTAACGTAATTAGCAATTAATATTAACACTTTGCGACATATGATCTCGATCGTGTTAAAAGCAATATAAAAAAAAACAATTTGAAGAAACTTAGGAAAAATTTAACAATTATGATAATAAATCGTTTGTGTTATTTTATTGCTGGTGTTATAGCAATTTAAATAAAATTACTTTTTATTCTTTTATATCTCATGATGCTACAAAGCTATTATCTTTTATATCACGAAATATCACAATAAAAAAAAAAGAAAATATCAATGACTGTAAACCTTATTTACATTAATCATTAAATTAATTAATAGATTAATGTAAATAATATAATATATATATATATGTATATTATATATATAATATAATATATCACTAGACAAATAAAGAATTGACATTTGATAATTGTACTCATGATTCGCAGTTAGCGTTCTAGCGTCAAGTATTCATTTACATCTCGAAGGAAAAACGTAAAAGGTAAAATCACAGAGTTGTATGAATTATTTGCGATCGCGTGGACCCTGAAGTCCGTGATTTTCGCGGTTTTCAATTCGGCGGTTTGGAAGGAGGAGATGGCCGGAAGCGGATTAAACCTTTACCCTCTATTGACACATCTCTAAGTACCAGTAGCTTCAAATAGTCATATCAGTCGCAGAAGAAATATAATATGGCTATTATTATTAACTATACTAAATGCAGTATAGTCATATAGCATAATATAATACTATAGTACGCGACTCTTTAGCGTTAACTATACCAAACAGTATAGTCAACGTCATCATCACTGTTTCTGGACTTGGAGGTATCAATAGTAGGCTAAGAATTAATTAACGCTACCACACAATCACCGCATCTATTGCAGAGACCGTTATTTTGATGCCTCATGCAACCGTGATTGTGTTGAAAAAAAAATAAGTATGAAACTAATATGAAGTAATTCACACGCGATAAATTCGCGTTCTTGTCGCGTATTTTCACTCATTCACTGCAAATCACTATATATATATATATATATATATATAGGACGCAAGTATTACTTCATAAGAGGCTCCAAAATGTTTCGAATCTGCCCTGGAAGGCGGCGATAAGTCGACAGAGGATGATTTTTAGCTTCGTCCGACGCATTTCATCTTTTACACTCTGAAACGAAAGCTTATCCGCTAAGTATCTCACAGAATAAAGTTAGAAAACTTATGGAGGAGGAGTTCTAAGTGAAGGAGGTGGAGCGGATAATAAAGGATCGTTACGACGAAAGAAGAAATATTTCAATTGGAACGATCAATTAATCTGGCGCCTGTTTCTCTCACTGTGGAAAAGCGGGGGAGAAGATAAAAAGAAGGAGTGAAAATAGAGTGATCTCGGGAAGAGGGGTGGAGAGGGCGGAAGATATTTACATTTATAAAACGGCTAAGGATAAAACATGCACTGTACATCGTCTGTCCATGTTCGATTAACACCCACACGCGTCTTGCCCTCATCCTTTAATCCTTTCTCGCGCAGCGATACACATGTGGACGAGTGTGCTCGACTATGTTTTGTCTTTCTTCCTTTTCAGTTTTTTTTTACTTGAGACACTCAGATCGTAATTCGTAAAATCCAAAATTCGCTCACTCTTAACTCATTTTCAAACATAAAACTATATCTCTTATAAGATTCGCTCTGAATATAATTTTACGTTGAAAGCGAGTCACAAGAGAGGCTTTAGACATGATAATTTTATAGTTAAAATAAACAAAATCTCACGGATCCTTTTCAAGAAAAACAAAAACCGTTTTAAATATAACTTTCTCTCTCTCTCTCTCTCTCTCTCTCTCTCTCTCTCTCTCTCTCTCTCATAAATTTTCTAGCGAAAAGTATCACTTTAAATAGAATTTCGCGTCCGAGATGGACTTTGCGAGTTTCGATCCCAACCGTCTCGTTTACCTCTCCGTCATCGGCCTACTTTAGTGGAGTTTGTTATAAATATCCAATGATTACTTGGGCTCTTTAATATTTTACTTCCTTCGCTTATTTTATTTACACATTATCTAATACGTTGGGACTTAAGATCCGCCTTGCGCATCCTTCGCGCCGCGTCACCGATAATACATAATAGCTCGTAATAGCTTCGCTACTTATTGATAAACTTAGCCTAGGTATGTTTTCTTTCCGCATCTATCGGTCATCATCTCAGGGTCTCTCGCATCCTCGCTCTTGGCTCTCTCGATCTCTCGCGCTCGCGCTCCACTTTACATTACAAGGTATTCCAACATGTACAAAGCCCTATTTACATTTATGTACATACGGTTCTCGCACTCGGAGTCCTTCGCGACATTGATAATGCTTCGCGTATACGTGTCCACGCGCGGTGTCCGTGTTCGTGCACGCGATGAAACTTCAGTCGGGACACTTCGAACTAGGACGCGTCTGGCCGCATTCTCGTCGCATGTTTTTGCATTAAACGCGAGTGTGCTTGCCGTAACTTCATTGCGGCTAAGTTTGATTTTCTTCGCGCAAGATCATCATAGTTTTCACATTAAAGATGCGTCGAGAATACGGACTACTATCTGACACACTAATCGATTTTCGAGCCTGTGACGGCCCTTGCTCTCTTCTTAGGCTCGCACGAACGTTAAACGGATGGAATGTGGATGTTTTCAACAATTGTCTAGCAATTATATCTTATATGTCTGAGGTTCACAATTTTCTCGGTCGTAAAAAATTATACAGGCTATATATACTTCTCTCGATTTAATTGCTCTCGAATAAATCAATTATGGAAACTTAAACTCTAAGCAGCTCGTAGTCTCGACTGAATCGTAATTGCAATTTAAGAAATGATAAATCTGATAAGGAAATGCGGCGTTGAGTCAAATTTGTTCGTAAAGGAAAGTTAAAAGATTTTAAGTTACATAACATACGTTTTCAGAGGCGACTATCCTGATACACGATTGATAAAAAAAATTTCGTGAAGCTTTTTGTAAAGACACAACTGAATAATAATGCTTATACGTTTTGAAATATTCTTTGCAAGGATTTTATATTAATAAAAATTAATTTTGATATATCTCTAGATATCTTGATAAATTACTTGATAAGTAATATTAATAACGTTTTCCTTAAATAATAATTTCTGTACTTTTTATTTAGTTCAAAAAATTTTCTGGAAAAATTTATTTAAATTTCATTTTTACGATATATGATTTATGTGGTTGCATTCACAAAAATTAAATTTATTCTTTTATTTTTCTGCGAATTTCACTAAATGTAAAGTCACCTCAGATAGCAAGTAATATTTACGATATAAAGTAATATGCAATTTGGTCGTTCCAATTTAGAGCTCTTAGAATCTTATAGATTTTTAGTTAGCAAACAACGTTTGTAAATAGCTACGCTATTTTTTGTATTGAATACTTGAAAAAAATCTTTGATGAACAACATGCTTCAAAACGCCAGAATGAGCAATTACATCTTACAACTGCTCGGGACACATTTACACACTTAACATAGCTGGTACCCCTAACGCGATTATCACTGTTACAATTCTCCTACATGGTGTTTCTCATGAGCGAGAAATAAATCAAGCAACCACGAAGTCGTGACATAGCGGACAAAGATACGTTGAACTTATCACACTCGCAATTTTACTCTTAATTAAATTACTACATATTTTGTTACAATATAGATTAAGCAAATTAAAGTGATTCTGTTAAATAAAATTCTAACTGAATTAAATCTTGTGAACTTTTTTAAAACTTTTTCTTTTATATTAGAAATGTGGATTGTGTCAATACAAAATACAATTAACGTTCATAGAAAAATAAACATTCTCTGCACAAGAAAATCGTGATTTTAAAAAAAGTATTTGTAAGTATATTTAATTATTATAGATATTTATTATATAATCCACTCAACGTAATTTCATCCACAATGTACCACATTAAGAAGACTATTGAAACCCGCTTTCAATAGTCTCTTGACGGACATTGTCCGACGAAGATCCTCGTGGTTTTCATCATTAAAGACGAGGGATAGTTGGAGAACGACAAAACTCCCACTCGACACAATTTCCGCTCGCGATATAAAATACTCGGGGATGATAAAAATAAATAGCGCGCGCGCGCGGGATCCCTTGGTTACACGATTAGCTTAGCTCACGCGTTCTCACGTACACATACACGGTTTTGTTTTAAAAAATAGTAAAAAACAGTGACTAAGTGTTTTCGCGCATTTTTCCACGTCGCTCGGGAAATCCGCTTGTATATCACTAATATTTACCCGCCCACTTACGATTCCTGGGCCCTTCTTAGCATTTCTTTCGCGCTTTCTCTCCCTTCACAATAATATAATATATCGTTACTGTATACATACATATACATACATATATATATATATATTTATTTATTCATTTTTTTATTTATAAAAATAACGTTCTGGGACTAAAACGCAACGTTCCAAAGCGGCGCGCGACAAGGAGCTGCCACATACGACTGATAAAGGCGCTCCAGCCATTGCCCCTCGATTTCTCCTTTGTTCTTCCCACACGGGAGGAAATCTAATTTCCGGCCATCAGCGCCGAGAACATGCTCGTTATTTGCTCGTCGAAACCAACTCGGCTATAGCTCGTGCGAAGAACGCACCATGTCAGAATGAAGCCTTGCGCAGAATCGGATTCAGAAAGAATATACCTAACCAAGTAGCTGCTTCTAAATTGAATAAATAAAAAATAATAACTAACGAGCATTTTCATTACAACAATTAATATTAATTGAAGTATATTCCGGTGCCTTATTCAAATGAAAAAAAAAGAGTTCATATATAATTAAAATTATACATTTTTTCTGATAGCAAGTTTTGTTGAATTATCTCAAGTGAAGGAACGTTATATAAGTTGACAGTTTATTAAATTTTAATAAATTATATTTATGGTTTTGCGTGGGGACATTAATTCATTTTTACATCCCCTTTGTTTAAAAGTTTGAAAATTAAAAAAAAAATTGCATAAAAATCAAATACTGTCAAAATAATTTTATTATATTTTGATGTATTATATTTAAAATATATTTCTATATTTTTGAGTCCTCTTCCTTTATGTATATATAAATATCAAAAACAATATTAATTTATAATAATTTGTTATTTTTTAAAATATTTTATATATAAGAGTGAAAAAAAAATTTTTGCTCTTAAATACTGCGAAAAATATTTAAAAAAGTTAAAATACATTAATATAGCTGCATATAATACCTGAAACAGATTCTATTTATTTGAAACTACTCAATAATGTTTTGCAAATATTGCTCATAAATTTTGCATAATGCGGCTATTCTCTACATTTATCAGTAACGGAATTCTCTAAATGTCTTATCGATAATTGTCACTATCGTTAACTAGCCGATAGCAGGACAATCCTAAAAGAAAGCGCGGCTCTCATTGACTGTCGCTAGTTAACGATAACAACAATGATCGAAAAAACGTTTAGAGAATTCCGCAACAGGAGATACTAAAATGAAGCAACTAATACCGTCACGTGCGATTGCGATGAAATTGTATGTTCCAGTCATTTTATTTTATGTCACAACATAAAAAGCTTTTTAATTTATAAAAAGAAAAAAAAGGAACTTGTTCATCAAATTCGGAAACATTAGACAACTTTCGACACTTCTTTTAATATGACACGAAGTTATTACGTTGCCGCAGAAATCTCACCTCAGATCAGATTAAGATACCGATTCCTTTATTGAGCTGTCGATTCTGCGTAAGGATCGAGATACGGGCATGTTGACCCTCGGCTTGTCGACGATACCAGCGCATCGTTGATGATTCGGCCGGCAGCGATATGTCTAGATCTATGTTACAACATCTGCTTCTCTAGATTTGAGGACTGATTATCTACGCCTGGAAAGCTTTACACCGCCGAATACTTAACGGTATGCTGACTCAGAAGTGGCCGATAGAAACCGAGCTGGTTAACTCGTTCGTCGCACTACGGCGGTATAAGATACGATGTTAAACGGCCGTATTAAACGCAGCTCGCTGTAACTAGATGTAAACGATACGTACGTCATGTTGTGATTTACATGCGGTTTACACTCGACCACAGTGAGCCATGTTTAATACTACAATCAACACAACACCTAATATCGCCGGACGTGTGACGGTTGAGCCATCGGTGAATCCACTTACCGCACTGAATACCGGCTTACGATACGCGGTTTGTCGTGTCCCGTAACTCTCCCCGACCCGTTTACAATCATGTGGCAGTGGTACGGGTCTGGGAAGGGTTGACGCAGATGTGCCGAGTATCACTTGATGCTCACGTAATATTTCCTCCCCCGAAGTCCGTCGCGCACGAGGATAGGATTCGATTCGATCTCGATAACACTGTTGTTGGATGTTATTGCTATATGAAGTGTATTGGATGAAATGATATCTACAGAAACGACGCGCAACGCGTATGCTTCCCAATTCGATCAACGAAATCATAATATATATTTCTCATATATAAAACTCACGTAAAACATATTTTGACATGCAAATTATGAAAATTGGAAATCAACAATCAGCATACCTAGGAAGTTAGGAAATAAATATCCCTAATTTTTTCTTTTCTAAAAAAAGAATACCTGTACATGTATATAAAAAAAAGAACAAAAAAACGATTATCTTTCATTAAAATAAAATATAAACATGCAAACAAATAATGACACTATGGCCATTTAAAAAATTGAATGTAGATATTATAATATTAAATTAAATAGAAAAAATGAATTACTCTGATAAAAAATTGCAGCGGTGAGGAATATATATTGCAAATACTTTAAATTCTAAATAATGCAGTTTCTTATATTCCCATTAAAAATATAAGGCAGTTATTACTTTTGTAAATCATAGTATCAAATAAGTTAATATTAAAAATGGATATGTCGAATAATGTAAGACAGATATTTTGCAAAAAATTTCCACGAGCTGCTTTTTAACATCAAAATAATAAAACTTTGGTTCGTTACGCTCGTATGAAATCTACAAAAACATCGTACTCTTAAATCTTGAATACATCTTCTCGAAAGCCAATCTCGTCGCAATCGCTTCGGACTTCGCAAAGACTTCATTCAAGACTCGTTGTGCCCGTATCACACTAGCAATTGGAGATTGCGACTGCGTTCGCGTCTCTTAACAAATCGAAAAGAAGCTGTTGGCCAGGTCTCGTCTGATTGGTCAAAAGATGCAATCGCGAACGCAGACGCAATGTCCAATCGCTAGTGTGATACGGGCATTACGTTCTGATCTTTCTTCGCGCACTCGGTTTTGCCAATTCCAAACGCCCGGCTACGACGGGCACATCGTCGTCGTCGACTTAGCCTAAACGAGAGGTCCGCTACAATTGTTATACAGAGTCCGCGTCGCGGTGGTACGCACTCACGCACACATGTACACGGTATATCTTAAGAGAAACGGGGCGTCCGTTGGACGACGTGACAGTCTTAGTTGGACGCCCACTGATCTCGCATTCGTTCATTCCCTCGCATACTTCCATCCTTTCTTTCTCTTCGTCTCCGCTCGTTCGTGAGGAGACGTCTGATGAAAATTCCACCCGAACGGAGACAAGAGCGGCGTTCCCTAGAACGCTCGCGATACGTCGATTATGGCTAAAACGCGACGAACTGCTTCAAGACACCGTCGCGCTTACGCTTGAGCTAAAAAGCGGCACGTTCGTCTCCCGCGTGTATCCCTCGGCACCCGGGATCGCCGACGTGTGGTTATTCTCTTCAGGAACGAATCGTCGATACCATCACCACCGTCACCTCCATCACCACCACGTAGTCCCGGACAAAACGAATCGTCCAGATGGTTTACGCCGTACCGTACGGTCGGCGGAACCATCTCCTAAACGAATTCATCGTTTCTTCGCGAAGGGACGAGAGAGGTTCCCCGGCCTAAGTCAGGACCTAACACTCGCTGTAGGACGGCGGCGGCATACCGCGACCCGTGTACATGTCCGTCTGCGGCTGTAAATGACAGACAACGGTGTGCCCGTCCAGCACGGCCACCGTCCGCGTGTGGTCCTGCTGCGGCGGCATGCCGTATGCCGCTGGCAACCGCGGCAGATCCCCAAGCTCGTACCTGGCCTGCTGCCGGCGCAGCTTTTCCCAACAGGCGTTCAAGGTTCGTTCCACCCCGTACTCCGTCGAGTCATAATGCGTGAGATTACCGCCGCCATTGCCGCCGCGTTCCGTCATCGCCTGGCCGTAGTGCACCAGGTTGCGATCGGCGGCGGGCGAATACGGGATCAGCGGCCGATGATCGCCGTAGCTCCTGGAGGACTGTCTGCTCATATCGCTCTGTCGACGGCCGTCCTCATCGGACATATCCGACACCTGGATCTCGCCAGCGCCGACGATACCGCCAATTCCACTGCTGATGCCACCGTTGCCGTTGCCATTGCCACCGCCACCACCGCCGCCGCCGCCGCCGCCGCGCTCGATCTCCTCGTACACTGGATCATCCTCGTTGACAAGGCCGCGCGGCAAATGAACGTGCTGGCCGTGATGACCGTGCAGCTGATGATGCCCGGCGATACCGCCGTTGCCTCGACCGTCTACGATTTCGGTATACGTATGGTTGTACGGCATCGCGGCACGTCTACCGCCCATCGTCCTGGTACCGGTGTTCATTTCGTTTGCATCATTCGGCCCGCGTCTCCTACCAGAATGACCGAGCGTCAGGGTGTTGTGCGTCCGCGGGGAATCCTCCTGCTCGGAGCCGCCATGTCCGGAATCGCGAGAATAGGACTTAAAAGAAATGTTCTGTGGAGAAAGAGTTAATACTTGAAGTTAGAATGAAAGGCCTGTAATAAGACATAAAACAACGAGAATGATAGATATGTTATAATAGTGTTAACATTTCCGCATCTTTATTAATTGAATTCTATACGTTGAAATAATCTTGGATTTTTAAAAATATATAACATTTACATGTGAACGACAACAATGCATATCTGACAATGTGAAATAAACTGTCTTACATAGACAAAATAAGTTTTATGAACGAATGCTGATATATAAAATACATGGAAATTAAAGAATAAAAATTAATAAAACTTTGAAAATCAAATAAATAATACAGTAATTTATTACTATATAGGTACCATTAACCATTTAAATGGGATTATCGGACGCAAAGGTGTTAAATTTACGAAACTCATGAAAATATTTTGTACAACTGAGCCATTTATTTCACTATTCGATTAATAAATTAATAAAAAATGTTAAAAATTTTCAAATATTTGCAATTAATAAGCCGCAAATTGACTTTTTCTGTGTTTTATCTACACAGCGCACATTTGATTTATTTAAATTATTTTTAAGTTGTACATCAATTGTGTGCCAATTTCACAAAAGATGTTTGTTAAGATAAACATAATATTTTAATTTCTCCATCGTTATATATATTTAACTCTGTTTATCTTAATTATATTTAACTCACGCTACTTTCAAGTGAAACGGCTCAATTGATGATCGCGCATGCATGAGAGGAGAAACGAGCGAGAGAATTCCACTCGCGTTACATGAAGACCGTATTTCACGGTTAATCATCCTCCTCTCTTCATTGTGCAGCCAAAAAAATAATACACAACGAAAACCAAGGCACACAAGATGAGCTACACACAATTCATGACAGGATAAATGGAGCACTGTGTTCTGATATAAAACGTCATAGCCGTGTATTCGCATTTGTTTCCGCGCGCATTAGAATAAGAAAAAAAGAGAAAGGGACAGGGGCAGGTACCGGAAGAGCGACGTGGCTTATTCCACATCTCCGTCTTTTTTGCTTTTACTTTAGCCAATATTCATCAATCATCAAGTTTTGTTATATCGGGACAGTTTAACAAGCGTCATTAAAAGTAAAAGTATAAAAGAGGTATGGATGATCCTCAAAAATTGGAATGTTTACATCCCACACTTTTTGAATACATTTAAATACCTTAAAATATATCTGATTTTTATCACAGAGAAAAATTATATAACTACGTCTGTACAGATAATAATCAATGAATTCCCCTGGTATGTATTGTACTTCAAGTTTATTATTTTTACTAAAAATCGTTAATGTAATACAAGTATAGCTTTGGTATTGAACTTGCTTTTTAATATTAAAATAAAATATTAATTTAATTTAGATCAATTATTCACATTTAATCTCAAAATTCTCAATTTCCCTGATCTCAATTCCCCTGAAAAAAGTATAAGGAAACAGAGAGATACACCCAGGGGACTGGTAAAAATGTTTATCTACTGTTTATATATATACAGACATATTGTATTATTTAACATTATCATAATATTATCATAATATATTATTATTTATTTTTATTATGATATTGTCATTGTATCATTCATTTATTTGGCTACTTTTGTGATAAAACTAATTTATTTTAAGCCTATTACATCTCATAAATTCAATGAAAAAGTGTGTGGATAAAATAACTACCAAATAATTTCTATTTTTTTAGAATCACTCATATGCAACAATACTTATTGAACTAAAAAAAAAAGAGTTTAGAAATGAGAATGAAAAGTTTTAATTAAATATATATTATTAACAAAATCTTTCTTTTTCCCTCTACACAGATAAAGGAATTGATTTATGTTTCAATAATTTATGTGATATCATTTCATTGTATTTTGTATATTAATAAATAAACTAACAAAATTAATCTTTTTACAATAGCAAATCATTTTTAGAATTGATATCAAATAATTTTTCTTTCGACATATATATTCTATATTTTAATATTGAAATAGACATTATTCTGTAACTCAAAAATAAAAGGGTAGATAATTCATATTTAGATAAAAGGTGCTTTTATCATTTCAATTTCATTGGCATGTTAAGAGAAAAAAATTGAGGGAATCGATTGCAGACGGAGGTTTATAGCACAAGCTACGTCGCAAACATGAAAAATAATCACACTTTACACGTCAACAAAGTGTATCCGCATCGCCATGCTCAATATTCGGATCAGGTTCACTCCTAAGATGCGTAAGGGTGACTAGATGCTGTGCATGAGTGAAAAGTAATACCGCACACCATGCAGAAATAAAAGAGAGAGACCAAAAGACATAGTGAACTGGAGACGGCTCTAGGTTTAGCAAAACTTTTGGCAAAAGTATTATACTTAACAAGACTTTTACAACAAATACTTTCATTGAAGTCTTAATATTTCCGGAAATATTAAAGTAATAATTAGCACGATCCTTGCAAGAGATAGCTAAATGCTCGCAGGTACGAGAATAGTGGTTTTCAAGATATTTATAAACGCACGGATTATACTCGATTAGGGTACTTCTCACAAATGCAAGATCTTTGCAAATACAAAGACCATAGTTGAGTCTTGTAAATACAATTGCTTGCCGACGTGAAGATCGTACTTATGTTAGAATATTATCAATGTGGAAGCAGCGGTTTAGGAAATCCTTACAAACATACGGATTATAATATCAGTGAGATGTTCGCAAATATACGAAGCTGTACAACTTCGAAACGCGATGCTTTACTTTTGCACATATTATTCAAAAAGACTACTTAAAGCAACTAAAGTCAATTTTATACTAAATTATACAAAAGTTTAAAATATTCAAAATAGAATGCAAAATTTATTAATCTTTGAGCAACAAATAAAGGTGTTTTGTATCTTTTGCCAAGATGTGAAACTTTAAACGATCGCGAAGTTGGTCTTACGATAGAGCCGCCCCCGAGGTTGAGAAACACAGCGAGCGAATTTAGCGGTGAATTAGTTACCTTCCACATGAGGTTTTTGTTAAGGTGGCCCCAAGTGGCGGTGGCAGATTTGGGGATATTGGGAGCTGAGGGTAAGAAGGCGTGACGTGCGTACGGCAGGGTGGCCACGATGTGAGCCTCGGTCGAGGCGGGTTCACCTGGCACCGTTACTGCCGGCTGCCTATCGACTATCGCCCAGCTTCGACCGGATACCAAGTACTGCAAAAGCAACCAATCCGCCGTTTCCCCCTTAACCCTTCGTTTATTGATGGGCAGGGCCAGCCTTGTCAGTGTTGCTCGTGATTTAGTGTATACGTGTAGGAATGGATGGATTATCCCATGCGTAATCATCGACCGAAAAAATCGATATATGATATTACTATAAATGATTGAAATATTTACGTAGATTCAATGCAGCTGATTCGTGTCAGTAAATAAAGGGTTCCTAAGCTAAAAATCGCACTAATTTTAAGAACAATTCTGCTTCGATAGAATTGCAGAAAAGAAAACTGGATGAATATGTTATATGATGCAGAAATTATAAAGATGTAGAAACCAAAGAGAATTGGAAAATTTACTATTTCTGTAGAAGAACTTTAACCGAATTTATATTGTTTGTTTCAATCGTTTCAATTCCGTGAATCCAAAGCAATATTCATTATAAAAAATTTTTAATTTCTTCAATTAACAAATAAATTTTTTTATATTATTTTTATATTTTTTATTTTATTTATTTTTTATATTTTAGATAAAAAGACTGGAATATTGATTTTGTTATTAAAATATTGTACAAAATACTGATTAATATCATACATATCAATAATTAAAAAATTAAAAAGTTAAAAAATGATATTTAACTCTAACTTCATTAACAAAAAATACTCTTATTCTTGTCCATAAATACATCGTACACGTAATATAAATAGAAATTAAGCCGGGGATATCTTAAGCTTCTCGATCGATGAAGCAACGGGACAAAAGAGACCTCTTGCACCACAATTAGGATACATAATTGTGTGGATACGGGGAGAAGTGGCGCGTAGATTTCGCGCGACATGATCAGACACGAGGGAGATATGGATACATCCAGCGGTATCTCGCGCGACGTGCGGTACCGGAAGCGGAACGGATTTAACTCGTGCAGGAGCAAATCTACGACGTAGCGCTCTGAGATACGCGACGTCGGCACGCACGCTAAAGGCTTTTCCTTGGACACATCGCGACCTCCTTCCCTTCAACGGACAAGAGTTTGTTGCGCAAGAATGACATGTGATTGCACCTGTTTCGAGATCCTATAGGGACGGGTCACGCGATGGCTACAGCCGGACTTCCGGTCCGAACAAAACCTACGACCTGCAGTTCTAACACAAGTCGAAAAAAAAAAACGCTGCACGATATCTTTCGTTTGGACGATTCGTCTTCGTAATGCAAAGAAAACGATGAAAAAGTCAAAGAAGTTCTTCACACGCAAGGAATTAAATCCTTTCAATTTCAAAGATTAATTCGAGAAAAATACTAAATTAAGATTGTCTTTAGAGACTAAATTTTTTAAATTCATATAATTGTGAATGGACATTTTCGATGACAAACTCTCTAATCCCTTATTGTTTGAGAATAATCTTTATATAATCTACTTCACCTCATTGCGTGAATATGCGAACTGACATTAATCAGCAAAACGCATCCAACAGATAAGGAATAAAGACAGAAAAAGAGAAAAAGAGCGAAAGTGGCCGGTGAATGAGCATGTGTGATGCGGTGAAGGTGTGACAGATGTAACGGATTGGTTCACGCGGATTTTCCTCGCCTGTACCTTTCTTTTTTTTCTCTTCATTTTCCATTAAGTGACTGATCGTGTGAGTGAGTGCCTGAGCGAGCATTTGAGCGCCTTTAATCCTTTACACTTGAAGCACAAATCCGATTATCTCGTTCTTTCTTACTTCCGTTATTACCACAATTATTAAATCTAATTTTTATAAAAAATTTGTATAAAATTAATTAAATTTATAACTTAAATCTTCAGAACATCGTTTTATAATAAAAAGATAATATTTTATGATAATAAAGACAAATGTATTTAATGAATTTTTCCTTTTTACTAACAAACTACAGAACGACATTGCTCTTTTAAATCGATATACAAATGCATTAATAAATGTAATTTAATAACAGTCAGTCAATCAATCGGTAATACGACAAGTGTAAAGGGTTAGGCATATGTTTCTCAGCATGTGAAACACCGGCAATTTCAACAGAAAACGCAAAAATTTTCACGCAAACAGTTGCATGTTGCAAGTGCAACGTAATGATCGTTATGCGTGAGCATTCGCATTTTCAAGAAAACGTTTTCCATCGATCGCCTGTTCATGGGAGGAAAAAACCATTTAATTACTCGAAGCGCGTTCAGGCGGAATACGGAAGTGCCATGGAGTGCAAGAGAACAAACAGACGTGAAATGCGATGTGTAAGTGCTTGCATAAAGTGCATCCCTTCGTACTCCGCCCTTCGCGTGTCTAGTTAGAATTAGGTCCACTGGTACATTACGAATCTTTCTAAACGTATACCTTCCCCGTCGTCGACGGAAGTTCGTTTGTTTAAATTCCTTCGTCGTGAACAATCTGGTTGACAATGCGAATAAAATAGCATAGATAATTACTAAAATTAAAGTAAGATTTTATACATGGTTGTCGCGACAAATATCAACAGTCTCTGATTATTTCAATCTTTTACTTCTCTCGACTTTTTATATTTTAAGAAATTATCTTTTACGAAATTTGAAATTGTACAAAAAAATTACGTTTTTGCTATAAAAAAAGATAATTATAAAAATATAATATATATATGATACTTTAAAAATTGTACTTTGTATAATAAATCGACGAGATAATTTTTATAAAACTTATAAGCAATCTAAATAAGATTGATTATCACAGTAATTTACTTCAAATATTATAGCTGTAATAAACGAGTAATCATTATTTTGCTGATCAAATAAAACTCGTCTAATATATCAAATATGACGAGCAAAAGGGTTAACGATAGAAGGCAATATAAAGAAGGCGCGATTATGAGGGTGGTCATAAATCATGATTGCGTGAGTGTATCTGATATTATGATTATTCGCATAATCGAAATTATTTCTACTGTGATTAGAAGAAAGGCAGTAACTGACAAGTCAAACTTATATTTTCTTAGCTCTTTTCATCATATTATAGTTTTGATTGATATTATAGTTATATATAATATATTATATGTATAGCGTATATTTATAATTAAATTAAAACTGCGCGAACGTTTTTTTAATAAACCAAATTAGTAAAATTAATCTTATATTAATTTAGAAATTAAAAGATATAATAATTTTTAAAAAATTGTGTCACAATAATATCTATTTAAATTAATTTTATTTTTAATTTGACTTACCATATTATTTCAACTGCAGCTATAAATTGCCTGTGTAAAATACTCGTTTCGGTAAAATTATTTCACTTACTGCCTTTTATCTGATCACAGATTTCATTGATGATCCGGAAAGTCTGAAATAAACGATGAATCGCGCGAAATCGCGCTTTTCGTAGTGAGAAAGGGAGCGGGCTGGGGCATAAGAGGGTACAAAGTAGCCAGCAACCGCATTACACCAAACCCCGAAGCCAGATAAGAAGCACGGAAATCACCACTGTTAGTAGGAAGTCTTGCGGGCGAGCGTGCTCGCGAGAGTGCGAATTCGAATGTTCGTGCTGTGCCTGCCTCCCGCGCGTTATTTACAGAATGGGGACGTCGAGTCATTATCAAATCGATAATCTGAAAGCGACATCTCTTCAGTCGAATTTATTTGCCAAAAGAGAGAGAAAAATGTATACTTTTTTTCTAAGATTGATTAAAATTTTAAAAGAAAGTTTAAAAATTCTTTACAGAAGAATTATTTAAACTAACTTTGTGAGAAATAAAACTAGAACCACTATAAATAGAATTACATTTAATTATAATAAAGACTATGACACAAGTTTTAAAAAATGAAAATAATAATTTAATTATTAAAAATAAAATATGGAAATGTTTCTCCCGTTATTAATTTGACCCGAATCTATTCTGATCAATGTAATAATGGTAAATATGACAAATGAATTTGTTTCTGAACAACTTGAGACTAATTGAGTTAATAAGCGACACTTTTAATTTATTCGAACTGTTATTTGAAACAATTTAGTATTCAAAATCCTCAAAGAATTGTTATCTGTTACTTGATAATTTAAATAAAGAACGTCAGAGACACTTTCTTAATTGGAAATATAACAGGGTCATGATCGTATTAACAAGATGCTCGAATTAAATTGAGCTCAAGAAAAAGAATCGAATCTCATTTATTCCTTTAACGAGCACAAAATAATATACAAAATGTATTAAAAAAATAATTTACTTCAAGAATTTTACGTGGAAGTTATTATGTGGAATAATCCATGAGGAAAACTTAATCAATAAAATGTTATTTTATAAAATTGTATAATTAGAAAAAGAAGAAAACTTTACTAATTTTCTCATATCTCAAATTTATTATTTCTTCGTTAAAATTTAAAAATATATGAATATTAGTTTAAATATAAAATAATTTAATTTAAAAATTGAAGAATATTGTACCCAAATAAATTCTACGTAGCAAATAAAATGCTCTAACAAATGTTAATTTTAGAATAATATTAAAAATACAAATTGAAAAGGGTTTGTGCTAAAATTTGTATTTTCGTATTTCTAACATTTTTGTATTTTTGATTATTTTTAATATTAGTGTGTTTTTCTCTGACTGACGTTTTCCTGTAAACTGTCCTATAACGGTATACACGAGCACATTCAACAATCTCTCTCAAATACATTTTTTGTTTTGCTAGTTTCTCTGTCTCTCTCTGTCTCTCTCTTTCTCTCTCTTTCCTTCTCTCTCTATTTTTGTCGGCCAATTCTCTTCGACTCTCTGAACGCGACAGGGTCGAAAGAGCTGAACGGTTCGTTAAATGCCTTTTAGTTCGCCGTTTTGCGAGTCAGTTTTTGAAGTGACTTGCTGATAACACCAAAAAAGCTTTCAGGTTCATGTCGGTTCCGAGCGTTAAAGCCGAATGTACACTTATTAAACATTGTTCAGAATATACGCTTCAAAACGTAATAACCTAATATACAGAAAATCTAATGTCTGTAAATTAATTTCTATGATATACAAGAATTATTTTTAAAGAATAAAATTACTAACTGTAAAGTTACAATTGTGGCAAATTAATTCTCTCTCTATATATAAATAAAAAAATTGTAAATAAATAATGAATATTTATTCAGAAGTTTATGATTACAAATCATTTCTAAATGAAAAATCTATAAATCTAAAGTAGGCTCTATCTGTAAAAATAATCAAATAAACTAGCAAGACCATCTACTTTACATACATCCTGCAACAAATTTAAAAAATTAACGAAGCGTCACGCTTCAATTAAAATTCTGTTGTATGATTGTTAAACATAATACATAATACATCATAAGCATGAAATCGGGAACCAAGTAACTACGTTTAGCGTTAAATACATAACGAACCAAGATCTATTTACACACGTTGAAAGGATCAAGAGAGACAGACAGAAACTGTAATTCACGCTGAGAGATAATTAACCGTAGCAACCTTTCAATTGTGAAGGGGCAAGTTTAAAGGAAGGCAGGCTGAGTTCTGAGCGACAGGCAAAAAGTGTACGATAATAATTAATTATAGACGGATCATACTTGTGTTACTCATAATCATACTAAAAGGAAAGCGAGAAAAGAATATATAGAAAAAAGTCAGAAACAGAGAAAGAAATGCAATTTATCGATACTCAAAAATCATTTTGATCATATGAGATCATGTATAAAATATTATATATGCTAGTCTGACTTGTATATACAATGTCAGAAAACGTTAGATTTTAATTGACATACTTCAGAGATGGATCAAGTATTGCACCGTCATTACTGTACTATGAAAAAAGTGAGAGTGGAGAAGGAAGACGCACGTTCCCCTTTCGGACTCCTACAATTTCAGTCTTTCGATTGCGCCATGGATAAAACACAGTAACCAATATTCTTATAAAAACTTAAAAATGTTGTAATTTTTACAAATACTACGTCGTTCTATATCATTCTACCAATTTGCATATTTGTTAAGCAAAGTAAAAGGAATGTGACGTGAAGTCAAAAATCAGTTTGGTCAAAACGATGTAGCGTTTGCAAAAGTTGCAAACATATGAGACTACAATAGACCTCGATTTTCATAAGCAATATCGATTACTGTGATCTCGCGGGGCAACCACCCCATTTCGCTTCGTTATCCGTGTGTCTCGGTTTGGTGTATAAGCGGCGTTTGGATACCTTGCTGAGCGGGATGCCTATTGTGGTTGCTAGGTGCCATCATGTGCATCTGGTGTGCCCCGACCGGCGACCTCAGCGACAAATTGTTCAGGTTCACGTTTATCGAAAGATTCGTATTGTTACAGGTGGTGGTCAGGTTGTTGTGATTGTTCGGCGGTGACGTGGCGCCGGCGTTGGTACCCACATTGGTGGCTGCATGAGGCGACAGTCCAGAGCTGTCAGTGGTAGGAGCCGAGGGATTCGACGAGGTGTTGTGCGAGGCGAAGTCCTTGCCGCCGTTGGCACCGCCGGTGCCGCCGCTGCCGCCAGTGGAGCCGGCCGAGCCGCCCGTCACAGTCTTCGAGCACCTTAGGCACTTCGGCAACCAAGAATGACGGCGCACGAACTTTCGGTACTCCTTCCTCACCTGTAAGAGCGAAGCAGAGCCCGCCCGACCCAACGAAACGAGTTTAACGGTGCGAGAAAGAACTAAAGGCTTGTGCGAAACAGCGTGCAGATGCGTTATGTGCATCTCTGCGAGTCTGATACATGAACACTACAGACTGCAGACTGCAGACGGCCTCGTGACGAATTATTGTGGTACGCGACTAAAATTCATCATTGGTAAAATAAAGAAATAATTATGCTCTTTTTTTTTTAGATTTTATTCAGTTATTTGTATCTTTTTGTCAAATTTTGTCTTTTAGCAAAATTCAGGAAACCGTCTGCGGTTACTTGTGAAAATGTGCGATCTAAGTTCGCAGGCTCGAAATTATAGTGCCGGTTTAATTAGAAATAAAAATAATATCGGTGCTTCTCGCGATGATAACAAAAAAAGTTCTCAAATTTTTGAGAAAATTATAATGAGCCCACTACGGGTGATAAAAATACGCGAAGTAAAAGTCAGTAACTTGTATTGCGCTTTATTAGACTTTATTGTACAGCGCTTTATTAGACAAATTATCTCCATGTTCTGATTTTTATGAGCAAAACAATACGATGCTAACATGATAATCGTTCCAGTAATCTTAATTAATATCAATCATGATCGACATATTAAACTTAAGCACTAGAAAATTCTTCGAATTTTAAGTTAATATAAAAATTAATACACAAGTGAGAATAATTTATAAAAAAATTATCACAACTCACTGCATAATCTAATTCTAAAGAAATATAAAGTTTACATAATTTTATAAACAACAATGTAACATATTATTACAAATCATTTGTAAAAAAATATGCAATAGAATTGATTAGATTTTACGGGAAGCGTATCGATGCAAAATTATTCTTATAAAAAATTGCGCGGTATCACTCTTAATTAAAAATTATTACATATATTACGAACAACTTCGGATTTTGTTGTTTGTATCTCTCTCTCTCCGGAAACATCCAGCGATGTTGCCAGAATAGTCTAAATCAAGGCGGACTTCTGTGCCCCGATGTATTCCCTTACCTTCTCGTTCTGTACGCAATGGAACACAAAGATAAACAGCCCCTGGAGACTATTCAATACGGTGAAGATGTACGCCATCACGACGGATTCTTGGTTTAAGTAGAGAAGCCCGAACGTCCAGGTCAGACCTAGTAGAAACACCAGCACGATAGCGCCCCGCAGCCAGGCCCTGATCAGAAGATACAGAATAATAAATTACAGGAGAACAGCCAGCCAAGTTTCTGTTGTACAATACAAATCGCGATGGCGGCGCTTAAAGGGGACCAACACATTGTCGCGTGAGCGCTCCGATGGAACATGATTTTCGTAAAAAAAAAAAAACGAAATCTCATAAAGCGTCATATTTGGGAAAACCTCGGATTGATTAAGCTATTTAAGTTCACTTCACTTCAGCGAGTTAAAAAACTACTGACACGTGGATTCAACAGTCTTTGATAAAAATAAAGGGATATTTTCTGCAGCTCGAAGGACGAATGAAGAAAATGTCATTAATACAAACACGATAATTTTATATTATAGATTTCCAATTTTTTGCTACAATCTTGCGACACTATATTTGTTATAATTCATTACTATTTAAATCGATTTCAAGTTGTAACGTCGTAATCCATTAATTTTGGAAAATTCATATATAATAAAAAATTTATATTAAAAAATTCCATTAATTTTATTTTAAATAGCAATAATTTTCATTCTCTTTTCTAAATTATCTGCCACTCATAAAAAGAAATATAAAGATAATTGCAGCCGATCGATCCCAGACTTCCTCAGAATTTCTCCGATCGTAAAATATGGTTAATATTTAATGCTTGACATTAGTATTACAACGTCGAAGAGAAAAAAATAGTGCAACCGTCACAGCATCATGAGAATTCATCAAAAGCGACATTTAATAAATATTGCGACATTATGTTGAGTGTTTATTTAAAAAAAAAAATAAAAACCGCGAATGCGCCACTTTGAGCATCGCCGGGATCGCAGCATTTTATCTAAACCGTTATGATTAGAACGTGTGGCGATATACATGTAGGCGGATATATTTCTACGGTACTTTCACGTCTATCTACTTGTAAATCAGGCGTAATACTCGAAACTAAGGAGAATACTACATGCAGTGAATTATCGTGTCTACTCACAGGAAATGCAAGTGTCATAATAAATATGTAACAAGAGTGTAATTATTATAATATTGTTGTGGATAATTAAAAAATACTAGAAATGTGAATCATCTTTGATAAAAATGACTTTATTTTTAAAAGAGAAATTTAAATTATTTATCACTGAAATAAAATTAATTGTGAAACATATATTATCAATCGTAATTATAACAATATAACATTATTTTTGCGACATAAATAAGCGATAAGCACGATTGAAATAATATCAGAGATTTAAGAATTTTTAAATAGAGACAATATTGTTTTGATTAACTGAAGGAATAAAAATGTATACGGTGTCATATTTTTTTGGAAATTTACTTCTCATACAAATAAAGTTGTTGTTCATTTTATTTTAATAAATTCAAGAATAGTATATATTGAAATTAAATTCAGATTTTATAAAAACTTATTTGTTAGATAATTAGATAATTTTATTGCAATTGTATTTAATAATTTGTAAAGTTTGAATACTATACAATCTGGTTCGCTCTCATATATTTATTCCTTCAATCAATGTATTAGTTACACAATTTACACACAAACACTGCACTAATATTTTAAATTGCGTTTCCTATGAGTGTTGCGATATTACATGGTGGCGAGTGTTTTGATGTATGATGTGAGAGACTAAAATCTACGGCTACGTTCACAAAATCAGTGTGAAATGATACTTGGACAGCTTAATCGAAATAAACTAAACTAAAAAAAAAAACAAGATGATCAAATGAGACGAGCGAGATGGCAATTAATGATGACGTTAACGATATGACTGGTGAGTAATAATAAAAATGGTAAATATCTTACAAGTGCGCTTGCAATTTGTTGGGAAGAGCATTCTCTTCCTTTCCACTACCAACCAACCACGCCATGCAGAAGAATGTAGAACAGTGTAGACAGAAGTGGGTAGAAGATTTAATACAAAAAATGAAACAAGACAGCAGTTAGGTGATTGTTCCGGCACCATTAATTGATTATAGCTTATTCTCTGATTTGCAATGCTCGATTCGCATTACTTATTGCCGAGCACGTAGAAGCACGACGTTTTCGCTCGACAATCGCAAGTGAAATTGACAATTAGTTACGTAAACAAGAATATATGTAGCAATATTTAAACACCAGTCATCGCGAAAGATATTATCTGCGATAATCCGAATCGAAATTGCAACAAACTTTTCACTACCATCACCAAATTATTTACGTATTCTCACGATTTTATAAAAATAGAGACTTACTTTTTAAATAATAATTTCACACAAATTATTGACTTTCTCTATGCCTCCGTTTACAAAATCCTTAAATTAAATATAACGATATACAGGGTGTTTTCAAAAAACGATAAATAAATTATATTTCTACACATTCTATATTTTATCTATAGTTATCTATAAATTTAACAATTCACAGAACAATAACCTTAAAAATTCAAAATCTATGAAATAATAGAAATCTGATATCTAGCGGTTTGAAAATTTCGTGTTTCGTATTATTTTTAAAACAATTTAAAATTATTATTAAAATTTACTCAAAATACTTTGTGGTGATATTTAACATTATTTGATCATGAAACATAGAATTTCTTTAAAAAATCTAATAAAACTCCAAATTCTTATAAAACAAATAATTTACGAATTTATAGAATGATCTATTGTAAATAAAAAATAAGTATAGAAAATTATTTTGATAGTGTCTTTTTAAATACTTAGAATAGCGTACCCCGCATATACATTTACGACAATTTGTGTAATCGAACGATATACTCATGTATATCCTAGGTATCACAGCAATACAGTGGTGTGTCGAACGAACGAAATATCTGCGGTCATTCCAAACATAGGACTCAAAACCAAAACCAAAAAATCAGCATGGCCGCCAAAAGATGCGTGACAACAAGATCCGCGTTCGGGAGATCTCTTTAAGCAAGTAAAGCTTGCGAACGTGTAAACCGAAAGCACCAAACAAACATCTCGATTACTACTCTTCGGGAGGGTCAAATCTCGAATGTGACGGACAACGGACGCACTCGACTGGTACACGGTATATACAGTTTGCAATTTATAATACTTTACTAAAACAAAAAAAAAAGGAATGGACTACTAAAAACCATCGTGCTTACCTTGCGCTAGCCAATCGGGAATGCTCCTTGCTTTTCATAGCCACGGTTGTGTTCGCATGCCGGCACATCATATAGATTGCCATCGATAGAAATACCAGATTTGCCTGCAAAAGATGACATTAAAATCAATCGACATCTTCGTGGATATTAGTGTCATAAAATTGAAAAGGAAAAACGTCACGTTAGTGATACTGATACGAATGACAACGAGTATCTTATATCGCCAATTCTTACACAATAATGTTTTCCTAGTAGAATGTTCAGTTAGTCGATAATGTATCGATCAATTACCAGTATAACGAGTATCACAGGTCCGACGAAGCTGAAGATGAAATAATTATCTGCGCGCAGCCAACAGTATCGATCTGTACCGTAGCTAAGTGGATCGATTATGCACGAAATTGCTACGACGAGCAGCGGTGCGCCATACGCGACCAGATAATACCATCGAAGCCGCGATTTTTCCGCTTCAAATACCTCGATCAGCATCACGTATAATTGGAATCCTATAACGTAATGTCAAAATCAATGTACAAAGTATATATATATATAGATTATATTATAATAAAAGAATAAAATATTACAAATCATAATGTAAATTAAAGGTTGGCTGAGTTACCTTCGAGGAACATCCAAGCAAATGCGCACAAGAAGAAAAAGTGCAATAAGCCGGCCACGATGCCGCAGACGATTCTCTGATTAGTTTGGCCGATCCCGCAAACGAAAAGTACTTCGGCAATCAGCAGGCACACGCAGAGATTCTTGTGGATCGTCGTTCTGTCCGACTGCAAATCAGGGATCAGGGTGAGTGACAAAAAATTCCATCTCGCCGCGATTGAATGCCGATCGATCGGCGCCCGCGCAGTTATATACATTACCTTCAGTCCGCGAAATAATTGAAACGTGAGAATAGCCAGGACGAGGCAGACGACGGAAATGATGCAGCCTATATACGTGATGATTTGCAGGGCAACCTGATGGGCAATGTCCAGCCTGACGGCGTGTACGTCCATCAGCACAGCGAAGTTCGTCAGGTGATTGCATTCGCACACGGTGTGAGTCTCGTTGGTCTTTTGTATCTGGCATCCCTCGTCCGACCAGGCGCTGTGGGAAATAAGGTATCGCGTGCAGAGTAGATAGTCGTTGTTCGTGTATTGCTACTTTTCCATCGGATATACAGAAAGCGTCAAAAATTACGCGAGAGTAGTTTCCATCTTGTTGGCTGTATACTTATTATATTATATATAATTACATACCAACTCTTAAATCCATAATATATGTACATACATATCATATATGATATGTATATTCTTGTAAAACATTTATAAAAAAAATTATGTAATATTAAAAATTAAGAATTACACACATTTTCAGAATAAAAATTTTTTAATCTTATTTAGAAATATCAATTTTAGGTAAATCGTTTTATTGAATATCGAATTTGTGTATAGAATATCGAATTTCGATAACTACCTTTTAAGGAGAAAGACTGCACGGATTAAATGTAATAACAAATATACCTCCTATTTCGGCGAGTTGTTGCAATTAAGTGTTGTATACAGTTCAATGGAAACACAGGAAGAGAAAATTGAAAATGAAGAAATAAAAGAAAGACTCCTCAGCACTTTTAGTATTGTATAAAGTGGAAATAGGATCGGGCGAAGGCGAAATTACCTCAAGATGTAATCCCAGAAGACGCAAGTGGGGTTGGTGACGTTCTCGACCGCCAGATGTCTGAAATACACCCGAACGGGTTCCGAGAGTTGTATGTGCCGGCCTTTTCCCAAGGACGCCGAGATAACTTTGCTGTTGAGGAGTCGGGTGGTGTTCCTCCGCGGCAGGGGCTGGGGATCGTCGTTCATGACGACGGACGGCGGCTCCGCTTGCGGCTGTAGTATCTCCTCGAGTCTGTCAAAGGCCATGAAGACTAACCGGACGATGCCGGCCTCGCTGTTGTCCAGTAAAGCGCCCCTGGTAAGTTCCACGCGATCGTTCGAGACGGTCCACCTTTGCTGGGCGGCTTCACTTGGGAAAACTTCCAGCTCGTTGCCGATGTTGCGCGCGTCCAGTACGCGAACTTCCATCACTGTAGTGGAGATACGCACGTGATTAATTAAATGAGTAAATAATATCTTTTCCTTAGCTCGTTTAACGCGTTTCATGAGAATTCTAATCATAAATTCACGGAAAATGCGAATTAAATTACGACAAAACAGTGGTTATCAAACTTTGTACAATAAATATTTATTTCAAGTACACTGCAATTAGAGGTTGTTTGATGAAAAATAGATCAATAAATTAATTTTTTTTTAATTATACTTGCAGCGCCATGTTTTTTTTGAAAACGGCACGGAACACAAAATTTTTATTAGTAGTACAACTAAATATAAAAGTGCCAAATATTTTAATAGGTCCAATTTAATTTTGCTAATTAGATCCTGCTAGCTTTATGTATAATAAAATAAAAACAAAAATTATGGTAAAAATCGGAATATTTCATTATTTATAAATAAAGTTATGCATACAATTTTGTATGTAATTTTGAAATATAATTTTTTATAATATAAAGTAAAAGCCATTACATAATATCATTAATTAAAAAAATACAACATTTCCGCGCAGGTGCGCGTGCCACGTACATCGCAAATTGGAAACTACGATAGGAGAAAAGTAATTTTTTATTTTTTCGCTTATTATCTATGTAATTAAATAAAATTAAAGAAAGTAATTTAAACAAAAATATTGTTTAAAATTCATCAAGGGACTCAATTGCTTCAAATTTGCCAAGATATTTATTTATTGTAAGAAAGAACAATGCACTGCAAATCTAAGTGTGTAATAAATGACTTTATATATGCATGTGCGTAATTCAATTTTTCGTGTAAAAATAACACAAAGATGCATACAAGAATAGATTTACATTTAAACGTAGAGCAGTGTTATTTTTACACGAAAAAGTAAATCATATTCGTGCATAAAGTCACTTATTACACACTTGGATTTGGAGTGTAATCTTAACACGCTGTGTAATTTGCCGCGAAAGAAAGGATTAAGAATTGATCGCGGTATCAATCAGTGGCGTTGCCAGGAAGAAGGACTTAATGTGGTTTCGATATTTCTTCTGAAAAGGAGGACGTTACACAGCATCCGACCGGCTGTCGCTCATCAACTGCCCCTCCCCTTCTTCCCTCTGACGCTTTTTGCTCTCCGCTGGTTATGCAGTTTATCAAGCGTGCATCTGATGATGCACGTACACAGCGGCTCAATCAAGCCGCGACGCACTTCCGGGAAGTAAATCAAGTCGCTCGTAATTCCATCGTCGTTTTGTAATAATAATAGCATGCGCCCGCGCCATACTCGTCTGGATTATAACGTAATCCAGGCGGGTACCGGAGAATTACGACGGATTCGGATCTGTATTTTATCTACACCGGAGATTACCGGGTGTTGGATGCGCGAGCGATATAAATCATTCGATCGTTTGCAATGTACGCCGAAGGCGAATGCAACGTGCGTCCGTTCCGTGACTTTCGGAACGCTGAAATGAAAATAGTTATTCCGAAGGAAAGACGATTCTGGTTACATAACTGCACCGTCGCGAATTCTAGGTTGTTTTTCAAAGGAATATAAATTGGAATTTTAATAACAAACTGTATTGCAATCAATTTATAAATTAATATTATAAATTATGCTCCGAAGATCGAAAACATTTGTAAATTTGAAATGTATTTTGCCTCTGTGTATATACAATTCCTTCTCGTATATTTTGAATTTACGTTCGGTAATATGATAGAAACTTACAAAATAAATAAAAAATATATTCTCTCTCTCTAGAGATCTTCTTTACATTTTAAATTAAATAAATCCTATCTTACATTAATGGGGAAATTGCAAATGAGGTTCTTAACATAATTTCGAAATTATGTTCCGTAATTATCTAGGCAATTGGTTACAAGCAGAGATAGCAACTTAATGAAGAGGATACTGAAGTTCTTAATGTCTCCTTACAGGGCTTGTAAAGGATATAATAAACGCATAGTCCGATAAATTGTTGTATAGCAATTACCAATCATCATTAGCAGTACTCACATATGTTTTTGCCTTCATGCATAATGGTCTTCTCCTGCATAAGCGTGTCGGCCAATAAGAAGGCGTTCTCTTCGAGACCGATCAGCAGCGACGTTGCGACCCTCATCTGCTCCTGATGACTAAGATCCTTCCAGGACGCCATTTGCGCCTTCTCGAGCAGATTGCTACCGGTCCTCACTACGCCCTGGAGCAGCTCCGTGACGCTGACCTCCCTCTGGTTCGCATCTTGATAGGTCTTAATGTCCAGAGCCATCTTCTCGGCCATGTTTTTGATGATTTTTGTAGTGATCATCATGTCGCCGCCGTACAAACCGCGACTGTTATTCGTTACTTGCGAGAGTTCCCTGCTGATGCCGAGAATCACGTCGCCTTCCGTCACACGGTTTTCCAGAGTGGTCAGCCAGACAGATCGACATTCGCTCAGATCTGGATTGTCGCGATGCCAAAAAGCGGATTCTCCACGGGCTAGACATCGCCATCTGGCCAGACCGTTGGCACCGCCGGGGCAGCTTTGTACGGCCACGTCACCGGCCCTGGTCGTGTTCCAGGACAGGTTTCTGGCTACTACCGGAGGACACACTTGTCTGTAGTCGTACCACGGACTTCCATTCGAAGTGGATTCCGGGTACAGCGTGCTAGGTACTGTAACAGTATGGTCTTGATCAGTATGACGGTCTTAAGTGGTCGCCTAAGCTAACGACTGCAGTCAACGGCTCGGCATTAATGCGATACTGACGTCGCGACGTCCTTGGAGACGTAGTTCGGTGCGCAACGACGTCCGAAAATGGAATTTCGGTTATCCCCAGGGGATCTTAATGCTTTGTCGCGATCGAACCAGAAGTGTACTATTTACTCGCCCCTCTTCCCCCCCCCCCTCCACGGTTTATAGATTACCAACAAGAATGTGTTCATTGTACAATGACAAAAGCAAACAATAATTAAAATTACAATAGATAATGACGACCTGTCTTTAGACACTGTTATCACCATAATAGCTTTGATCATCTTATGCTTAGACGCTGTCTGATACGAGCGGCTTATCCACAAAGTCAATTCATAGATCCATAACTGGGAAATAAGATATAATACAACGTATTGTAATTTAATTGTTATTGTGTAAAGACGTTGTCATTGTTCGGTATATAATAAGATTGACCCATGGAATCGACTAATTGGTTATCGACAAAGAAATTTCCGAGGATCTCTCAATTCTGAGAATTGTCTATATCCGAAAATATGTAAAACGATTTAATATATTATATACATGAAAATATTATACATCAAAATGATATTGTTTAGTTTTGCTGAGATATCAAGGTTAATGGTTAAAAATAGCGTATATTTTATGTAATGTTTCTCTAAAAGAAGAGAAGATCTTACCGGTGGTCCTTCGGCTGGTTCTCCAGGGAGCAAAGGTAGATGTTGTCGTGGCTTGAGTGGTCTCAAACATAATCGGCGGCATTGCCGGGCCATTCGCTGGAGAACCATTCGCAGGAGGTATTAAGTCCTGATCTTCCTCATCGACTTCGATGTCGGCAGAGGACCTTGTTGACGTAGAACTGAAAATGGAAGGATCTCATTATTGTCGATGGTTCTCGTACATACCGAACTTTATGACGAACATATAGATTATGATTGATATAAATTAATGACGTCAAGGGAAATATTTGTTTTCATTATACAGACAGTGATTGAAAGAAATTGATGGCTGCGGAAAATAATACGCAGGGTAAAAATTTCTTTTTGATATTTTCGTTCTCTGTTATATTTTTATGCGTATGCATGACAACTATTATACTATAAGTAATATTTAAGTATATGTAAATATAATTTCAGATTAAAAAATCCGAAATTCTTGGCTTTTAATTCTTTTCAGAAGTAATGAATTTATTGGACATCTATTCAATTATATATCTCTATCGAGAACGTCAAACAATTTTCTCTATGTTACACATTTATATAAATTTAAATTACTTTTATTAAAATATACTCAATATTTATTATTTTTTTTACGAATTATGTTATTTTGGTTCTTTGAATTTAATTAGTGTCTTTAAATTAATATAAATTAAGTGGGTATTACAGACCCACACAAACGTCAGTATCAACGTCACATCTGTGTTACAGATTTTAGCGTCAGCTCCAGAGAGTTAACTAATCAAGTTACATATTTCTCAGTCTTTTATGTAGCCCACTGACCTCGCCGGCGTCGTTATCGGCATCGCTGGGGTGGACGGCGCCGGTGGCTGCTGGTGAGGCTGTTGTGCCGGTGTCGTAATCCTCGAGGGAGGCCTGACAGTCGGCTTAGCGGTGCTCCAGACACTCGGTTGCGAAGTTATGAACCACGGCGGACTCGGCCGGGACGTCGTCGTGGTAGTGGCCGCTGTGAATATTTCGTCAAGATCGTTTTAATGAGGACGGGAAAACTAGCAGTGCGAAGGAGCTTTGGTAGAAGAGGAAAGGGGATCAGGCAGTTCGTCTACGAGCTTATTGGATTCGAAGACTGAGTATAATTAAGAAGGAAAGCGATTTCAGGGGTGCGGGATATTTAAAGCTTTCGAGAGGTCTCTTCGGCTCAGGAATATCGAAGTGGTCTCTCTTCTCTCTTTTACTCCCCATCTCTCTCTTTCTGCCTTTCTCCCTTTCTCTCCCTTTTCCTCTCAGATTGATATGATGGAAAGTTTATCCACCGCGTCGAATTTATATTAGACTCTTGTTAATCATTCGATAGAGTTTGAACGAACTGTCTGTACTTTGCGTATATTCCCGATAGACCGAAGGGAATGAGATATCCGGGGTTTGGAGATACCGAGGTACTCTCATCTCTGTTTTTCTTGGCTCGCTACGTTGGAAGGAGCTTATCCACTGTATCGGATTTATATCAGATTTTTGTTAATCATAATCATTCGATAGAGCGCTTAAATAAATCTTCTTTTGAAAATATTCAATATATATACATTATATATATATATATATATTAGGAAAACAAAACTTTTTTAAAAATAAATAATGCAAAAGAGACATGACAGATTCAACAAAACTTTGAAATTTTATTAAATTAAAATTTTAAATAAAAAATAAAAACATTGTATAAGCACTAATAACAAACATACAAAAAAATTTTGAATTTGACGATTAGACCATGGTATTCTTATATGTATTTTAATGTTCTAAAACCGAATTCGCGTAGGCCTAATTGCTCCAATACAATTTTTTTCTATTGACAGATAGTTTGATTTAAATTTTCCAATACATTTGACCTACCAACTTGCATATTAACTTTATATAAGCTTATTATCGTTGAACTTACTTTCACTCATTTACCTCAACTTGCATATTAAAAACCAGGCCACAAATGGCTCTAAAAGAACTGGAAAATCGTTATTTTCCGTTCGTGAGGAAAATACTTATTCAAAAAATTGTGCAATTTGGATATCGAATTCAGTTTCGGTTCGTCAAAATACATAAGAATACCATGGTCTAATTTCCGGATCAAATATTAAATTTGGTATTATGTTACCCCTTATGAAATTACTAAATATATTTCCGTTAAAGTTATTCCGCGCGCGCGCGTTTATGAAAAGTTTATTGTTATTTTTCACCAATATCAAAGACAAAGAAAAATTTTTTGCTCTTTTTAAAAAAATTGTATTAAATTTTATAATTGCTAAGAGAATACTACGAATAATAATTAAATACTCTACCAGTATATAAATCGTTCAAAAAACGTTTCGCGAATAAGAGATTTAAATGGTCAAAGAACAGGTAGGTAGAGAAAGAGAGAGACAGAGCACAAGAGATTAGACTGCACAGTGCACAGTTCCATATCGCGACTAGATCTAGCCGTGAAGGGGAAAACGATCCTTAACCCAAGATGGCGACGACAGTTAATTCCAGAACGGGATGGTCCACGTATTTCGCGGTACTATCTCTATAGAGGTCATCTTTATTGTCCAAAGGGGTTTGCGATAAGGTAAAATACCGAACGTCGCTGATATTCGTTACGATAATCGCGCGTGTAAAGGTAAGACGCTCACGTGCAAATCGGAAAGAGAAGAGGAATCGGTTTTACTTCTTCCGTGATCACGTTGGAAGCTACAAAGATCCGACTGTTCGCTAATATATATTGGTAGCGTAGAATTGTGGAACCCGAGATCGCGAGACAACGATGGAAGGCAAATAGGAAAGGCGAAGAGGATTTAGGTATCATTAGAAAGTAACAACATGTTGATAGGAAAGAAAGATTGATATTTGCATTTAATACACATATCACATATTTAACATTATATTTAAATGATTTAAATGTTTAAATATTTTAATAATTTTACTGATATCAATTAAATCAATTATGCTGATTGCTAATTGTACAAATACAAAAGTCTAAAGAAAAATAATTTAATTAAATTAATAAATATTGTAAAAATATATTAATTTAAAAAAGTCAATATTTCGAATAAATTGTCAAAATTTATTATTCAAATTGCATTTATTTTCAAAAATAATTTTTGCTATTTATACTTTTAAATACAATTACGATCTACAAGTTTTGTGGAATTTCCTGCAAAGTTCAATAACGTTAAAAAAAATTACAAGATAAAACTGACGTACAAATGGAAAAGAGCTTTACTTACCGGACACGCATCGATAATGCGCTTCGAGATATTTGTGTGTGTTCGGGCAAGGATCGCCGAATTGCAGCGTAGACGCAACGATGCTGCAGTTCTGCTGGTCGTTGCACCTGCACGGGGATTCGACTCGCGTTTAACAAAATGACTGTGGTACACCCTTACCACGTGTACCGCCATGGATCCAGTTTGTGTTTCTTTCGTTTCCTCAATAGATGGGAAAGAAGAGCGATGCTCTTGGAGAGAAACTTTTTCGTCGAAATTCGTCCATTCAACTCGTATTCTTTTATTGAAGCCTAACTGCCTTAGCAAGTTAGCGGATATTTTATTCTTAATTCTTGAGATTTTGATAGAAAAGAATTAAGTTACTTTTTATTGGCGTATATTTGACGTTTGATTGACAATTAAAAACCTCAATCGAGGACTTCATGATTTAATTTCAAAGAAAAATATTAATTCTTTAATTATTATTTTTCAATAATAGAAGATTGTTATAAAAAGTAAAAAGTCAATCAAATAAAATTATGAAATCGCAAAAAAATTGGATTAATTAAAAAGTAATTTTAGGAATTTTTTTCCAAAATCAAATATAAAATCATAAAACAAAGATGATAAAAAAAATTATTCATGAAAGAAAAAATTTTTTAAGATACATAACGTCTGGGCATATTGGTCTAACACCGAC